CTGGTAAGACCAGTCCTGGAGAGATTGCCAGCAGTCTAATATTAGCTGAGCACATGGTTGTCTTTAGAATCAGTCACTAAGCTGGCTAAACTTAGTTCACTGCGTCCCAAGCCTCTTTCCAAGTTCTTTTGCTCCACCACTGACTTCTGCTGGGTACTGAGGCGTCTGGGGAGAACTTGGGCTGCCTTTCGCAGTGATGAGTGAATGACTCTGTGAGGAATTTGCGGAATAGGAAGAAAATAACTCTGACCCTAAAAGGAAAGTCTGAGTACTATCAGGAGGTGGGAAACAGAACAAAATGTACTTTACATCGGATTCGTAATTATTTGTGTTGGTTTTTCTTCGAGAAACCAAAGCAGTCACTTCCTAGATAAACTCTAAGTTTGCTGCATGTGCTATGCTGCCCTCATCTGGTAAAGCAGCTTGACCTTTCTTCTACACGTAAAAGGATAAAGGAAAACACTGAAAACACACACTCAATCACTACCCCGCCCTGCCGTGCCAAACAGACTTCCCTTTCCTCCGTATTATTTCCTGTCAATTTCATTTCTGTTTTGGTCTCACAGGCTATAATCTTTGCCCCCAGGCATGCCCTTTTCTACTCTTCCTGTGTTTCATATCAGTAAGGAGCCGAGACCCACCTCAGGCTCTTGTGGCTAAACTTAGCCCTATTTGAGTAATGGGTCAGGATAGTGTCATGCTACAGGTCTGATCTGATGGTTCGCAGCCTGTAGGCGGCTTCTGATAAGGAATTGCCTGGGGCATTTGATGCGATTTAGTGGGATTATAATGCTGGAGGTGTGTCAGCTTCAGCCGGCTGCTATCAACAACATGTCTCTGTTTGTTAACTCTTCACAACAGATAAGCAACTATAATGCTCGGGATCAAAGAGCTTTTGAATGGCCGTCCAGTTTATTACAATGGCTTTACACAGTCAGGACGAGGCTCTGTGCTGATGCATATCTAATGTTGAAATAATGTCGCTTAATAAGGACGAGTATTTGATAATAACTTGTTAAAGGTATACTGTGGGCATGTAAGTTCAAAGCAAACAAGATTGTTATAGGTTTGCAGATCTATTTGGAGGGGATGCCGACAGCAGCTGTAACCTACGGTGAGGATTAATGTTACAGCTATATTTCATGAGCTGTCTGACTGACGGCACATAAACAAACCTCATGCTCTGAGTGCTGCATTTTCCAGTTTGATCAGAAGGAGGCAGTCTGCATCCAGTTGCACAAAGCCGGCCACAATCACATGCACAAAGTCAGGCCTTACTCCACTTCAATATGAGAGTTGATCTGTTTACATGCACCTTTGGTACTACGGGATTGAGTCATTGATGCTATGTATAAACCGGGTAACACGATATTCCGGTCACCGTATGACATTCAGCCCCCTAAACAAGAGAGGTTGCGTCACATTAAAAACAGGGTGACTTAAACCAGCTGAGCCAGCATAAAATTAACCAGGTTTCTTATAACTGCAATACAAGATTATTTATCAGACTTGTGATGTTTGTAACTATGTCACAAAGTTTGAAAAGATACTTAAATAAGTGGAGATAGAAATGTGAGTACTGATATCACAAGCGTAGAGTCTCTTGAACATCTGGGGGTCCATTAGGGGCAGGAATGGGGAGTCCTATGACAGGAAATTTTGAGCAACAAACACTTCATTTTCTGCATTTTGGTCAGTTTTAAAGCATTCATTTCTGCGTCAGTTTATGTAAAGGAAACACAGAATTCAGGCACCAGTTCACAATCCAAAACATAATAGACTATAATGCAGTAAAACTCTCTGGTATTCTGTATTGCTTTGAGTGTTCGTTCTCTTGTAGATCATTTTTTTGTCATTTATTAATATTACTGCTAAGTTGAGACACAAGTGCCCTCTTTAAATGTGCATGCGGAAAGTTTGCAATGATAATTCATTTTTAATTCATTTAGAAACCTTTTGACAGCAATAGCTCATATCTGCTACAACGAGATTTCTGCTTATGTGTATAGCTTTTTTGCAAATTTAAAACATGTTACGCAGATCTTTGTTTTACATACAAAAAAGTAATGCTTTTCAAAATAAAAGCGCTTTTGCTTCTGTGTCACTTTAATTGAGGTGTACATAGATCTTGTGCCCCTCTGAAATCTACGCCAATGAACAAAATACAAAATATGCATGCTCTCCTTTGAACTTCTGTATGTGATTAAAGCTAATTATATGTAAAGGAATGGGAAAACTTTGCAAGCCTGCTGTGGTTTTTTAAATGTCATATCGTGTAAGGATGCAGTTCTTGCCTGTTTTTACAGCATCTGTACCCATACGCTATCATTTTGTGTTAGTGTGTGCATATCGTCTTGTGTTTGCATGTTTGCGTCCCTGTAGTTTTTCCAAGCATGTCTGTGTGTCATCCATGTCCTGGGAATAATTACTACCGAGGCCCCCTGGCTTGGAGCAACAGCAGGGTTAGTTTGCTCTCCCTGCAAATGGATTTCCATGGGAAAACAGAGCCAAGACGCCCATCACAGAGACGCACTGGAATTATTTGGGCAGGAGGTCCTCAGCAGCACAGCAGATTTGGGAGCCACAGCCTTCATGATTCAGTCACAGCACTTTTCTGGACAGTTGAGAGGCTTGCTCTGACACAACAGACGGGCAGCAGAGAGCTGTGGATGGGCAGATTCTGAGAGAGCCGTGGAGAGAAGCGAGAGAGCGGAGAAAGAGAGAGCAGACCAACTCAACAGACTGTAAGGGGAGCAAGGTTGGCTGCTGTCTGTTTCTTTCTCTTAATCCTTAAATCTTCTGTAATCAGGATGAGAGGGAGAGAGCACGTTGCCTGACATAGGACAGCAGAGTCTATGTTGGGACCTGACTGATGTGGCAACTTAACTGGCCAGTAGGAGAAATTGAGGGAGGGGAAGGCTAGACCTGGAATCAGTTTGGGAAACTTAACCAGTTTCTACTAAGCATCAACAGGAAGAGTGGAAGTGCAATAAAGGAGGATGGTTTAACTACAAAGACCAAAGCCAAAACCAGAGAAAAGACAGAAGAGGACTAACCTATGGCTGGATTGTTTTAGGGTGAGATTTCTTGCTGTTATTATTTCTTCTATGATTTTGTTGCTTTGCTTGGGTACATATAGATGCATGTGCTGACTTCACCGTTAAAAAGAAACTGAAAGGGCTCATATTTAGGATTCAGCGGAAGAAGAAGCCTGGCCAGATTGCAAGGTGTTGCTCGGCAGGAAGTGTAGACCACAGTGGCAGAGCTAAAAGAGCAGACTTACATGTTTGGGCAGAAGGAGGAAGAGAGAGAAAAGATCTGTGTGATAGTAATCATCATTCTTCTACATGACACAGTGCTGAAATACAAGCATATGCTTGTGGGATTAAAAGAGTTGAATGTGGCATTTAACAAGAGCTTAAGCAAAAGACACAATTACTTTAACAAATTAGAATTAATGAGATCGTCAGCAGGTGCAAAGCTAATTCTGTGCAAACAACAATTTGTGAGAATGTGTGCTTGGTGTGGGCATGGTTTAGTGATGTATGCAGGGCCAAGGCAGACTGATGACTGAAGCCTTCAGTTTCTTACAGGAAAGACCAGAGAGTATTTTTGCAAGTTGAATTCATCACTGATGTACGCAGACATTGAGCTCTTCTTCCTTCTTATCCTTTTAAATCATCATCTGTTAAAAGTCTTCCTCCGAAATCTAAGTCTTAAGAAATATTGTTTCAAAATGTAATTCCAATAAATGGAATATTTTTAATTGTATGGCTGAATTTTGTGTAGTTTGTTGATTTATGCACAGAAAACCACAAATTGGTAACCACTGGAAACCCCAGAGTACTTGTACTGCAAGGCTATGTGACACTGTTAAGTCACCATGACAGATGCTGTCACTAGACTGGCCTCCCATTGCTTCCGGCACCATATGGCCTTTCTCAACCCAGTACACTCCTCCTACTATGCCTTCATTCACATTACTTTCGGAGACTGAGCTTCCTTGGGTTTACAGCAATTCTCGATTCCTTGATTTCTTGTTTCTGTTGCTTCTTTGGCGATATGGACTTCTATACAATTTGAGCTTCAGATGTCGTAGATATAGAGAAATTGCTTTTTTTTTTTTACTGCTACTACTGCCACTGATTTTCTTTCTCTGTTGTATGACGGCCTGAGCAAATGAACAGATAATTGGCAAAAAGTAGGTGATACGGGGGGGGGTTGCTTGCGTATCTTGTAAATCAGAGACTTACGGATCAGGCACTCTGACAGGAGGGCTGAGGTGAAGTAAAGCTTCTCATCCTCTTTAGGCATCATGCCTGATAGACAATTCCTTTTCAGATCGCTAGATCGAATTAACATGCTTCAACGGCTGCTGGGATTTTGTTGTTAGCATTACAGTCAGATATGAATCAGTGCAAGGGGAAGTTTATGAGGAGAAGAGATCACACATGTTTCTTAACAATGCAACACCCAACAAAAAGCTGTTTTATATGCCTTTTCCACACAAATATTTTCATATATACCATCATCCTTCATATTCGGATGAGCATGTGTTTGACCTAAAATGGAAAATGTAATTTGTCAGTTTATACAAGAAGTATGTCGGCACTCAGTATTTGTTTCAGGATAGTTAAAGCTTTTCTCCTTCCTCCATAGCAAGTTTTACAACCAGCAACAAAATGGTAATCCAGTGAACTAAACTGAGCTTTCCACTGGTCTTTGATATGGCCAGTAATACAAGCTTTGCCTCTTCTTATGTCAACCAATAAGGAAACAAAGCTTGATAGTGCAATCTGTTCAAACATGATATCTTCCCTTAGGTGTAGTATGTGGCGGTCACATTGAAAAAAAGGGTGGGTTCTATCTAGTAAATCAATAATATGGTTTATTTTTTTCATTTTGTGTCCATGACAACAACCGTTGATTTTATTTGTGTTCTAGATATGGGTGTTGTGCAGCTTGAAGCCCAGGTGTGATCCCAGGCAGAAGGGCTTCCAATGGCTACTGGAAATGATGATCCACACCTGGGTGACAGCCCGTCCGAGGACTCAGAGATCGTCTCGGATGATTCTGACTCAGGGAGCGTGCTTTCTGATGACTCAGTGCTTCCCGACTTTGAAAGGGAGGCAAAAGACACCGATCCAGCTAAAACGGTGCTTGAGGCCTGTGTTAGGAATGAGGCTGCATCTCTGCGAAGCATCCTGGAGAGAGGGGTCACAAAAGAAGAGGCCATGGAGCTGAACATCAATGGCAGGGTGAGACAGAAATCGTTTTTCTTTTCATCCCACAACGAAAGTGACTTTGACTCAATTTGAAAAATATACAGTTACACAACAAAAAAATCTGTCTTGCTCTCCATCAGAATGGACTGATGGTGGCTGTGGGCAAAGGCTTTGTGGACATTGTCACCCTGCTGCACACATGTCCATTCATAGACATCAACCACCAGGACAATGATGGCAACACGGCCCTCATGATTGCTGCCCAGGCAGGTATGTCTGAGGACACATTCACCACATAACCTTCACATGTAGGCTTAAATCAGTTCTGGATAATAATATGTTTGTTTGTTTTTTTCAATCCAGGCTTCATCACCATCCTTAACTTTATCCTTAACTACTACCCTGCTGTTGACACCGAGATCAGGGATCCCCGTGGGTTCACAGCCCTCATCAAGGCAGGTCTGCAGGGCCGAGAAGAGTGTGTGTGCGCCCTGCTGATGCACGGTAAATCTGGAAATCAAGATGTCTTACTAGATAAACTAGCTAATGATGTTCCTCACCTACACTTGTATTCCAAATCCAAATAGGCAATCAAAGTGCACTTCAAATCAGAAATAGACAGTTTCCTGAGATGACAGTTATGCTATACAATTCATGACCAGGATAAGCCTTCCCAAAAACTCTCAGTGCTGCATACATGAAGGGTTTTTCTTGGACCTTTGGGGCAGTAAGTGGTGCAGTAAAAGCAACAAGTCTTTGTTACTTTATTTCACAGAAATCTGTGCATTTTCCTATTTTTCTGATGATTTTATAAACAAAAATGTCTACTGTACTTAAGCAAAGCAAATCTCAAGACTGTTTTGTTCATTTTTTTTGTTGCCCTGAATTCTTAGCATGTTGATGCACTTTTCTTTGGCACTGTCTAAAATTGGGACGGCATAACTTTCTCCATACAGAAAAAAAACCCTCTGCATGTAATATACAGAGTAAAACAGGACATCTGATCTGTGAACTAATCTGGTCTTTCTCTGGGCTACAGGGATTAGTCCTGAATGAACTGTACAGAGACACCTTAGGATAGCGCTGTAAAAACTCCATCTATATAAAGTTCACTTATCTCAGAGACAGAATGACAACATCAATCCACAATCTAGTGGTATTCAGGGGCATCTGTGGAGGATAAATATATGTGTTGTGGACTTGGATTTGATTGAAAGCTTTGATTATTAACCACGTGGTCTGCCATAGTCTTTGAAATAGACACGACTGACTGTCTTCCTACAATCAACTGAAGTATTGCAACCAGATGTTTATTAAGCATGACTCTGCATTAATGTAGCATATCGCTTTCCTCTAACTGCAATCTAAATGACATTCCACCGTGAAATGGCCTGAGTAGGATTTGACCTCTCCTCAGTGAGCTGTGTTCCAAACGCGACCACATGGTGGGGTTGTTCTGCTGAGTTGAAAGATTCATTGATTCCATTGCATCCAGTAAAAACGTATTTGTTTCCTTGTTTTGACTGCTTTCTACTATTTTCTCCCCTTTCTGGTGTGCAGGTGCAGATATTAATGCAATGGACCTGGTCCAAGGAAGAGGTCTAAAGGACTGGGTCCTGAGGACAGGAAGGTTCGACACTCTGACCAGAATACGCCGTCTGCAGGTCCATCCTGTTGCTGAGCAGTTCTGTGAGAGCTACATTCCAGAGTGGCCTGAGCTGAAGCAACTAGTAGCAAAGGCCACTGCCACCAAATCAGCCAGTCAGAAGCTGAGGCAGCGCTTAAAAGACAGTCTAAGTTTCAGCTTCCCACATGACCCTCAGGACAATGGGGTCATGGACCACATGGTGCGGATGACTACAGGCATCCACAGCCCCCTCATAGCTACTGGTTGCCGTCCATTTTGTCCTACCAGCCCTCCAGAGATTGGCAAACGACGATTTGCTGTACCTGAACTGCTTAAAAAGCACAGCACTAAGGAGCTGGAGGAGAGCACAGTGTCCCACAGTAATGGCTCCATTACGTCAGCTTCTCCCACAGGTGTTTCAGCCACCTCTGTGTCTCTGACCTCCTGCTGCCAGGAATCAGAGCGCAGGGAAAGCATGGGACCAGGTGGCATGAGAAGCTTCATTCCACGCAGTATGGCACACAGGAACAGCATCTTCCCCTCAGGATGTATTCCTAAGATTGAAGTGACTAAATCTGGGGAGCCTACTCCAAAGAAAGAGAAAAAGAAGAAAAGGCAGAAGGGCTACCTGGAGCCTCCTGTGTGGAAGTACAAGGAGGCCAAGGAGGAGAAAAAGAGAGAGAAGAAACAGCAGCAGGAAAAAGAAAAGGAAAAAGAACATGACAAGAAATCAAAGGGGTCAAAACGTTCATCAAGCCAAAAATGAGTCGGTTTTCTCTTCCCCACAGAGAATTTTACTGCAGTAATGTCATGTTTAAAGGACAAGCATGCGATTTCAGTGCGTCCAACATCAGCTTGAACAAGACACAAAGAAATCGTGAAACGATTTTGAAAGTGAGCAACTGACAAAACTCCTGGGTGGTTTTGAGTTTAGGATTGGGATGAACATGAGAAAACTGGTTTCTGATGTCTTTTTTCTGCAGCTGAAAATAATGTCAACCAAAAAAACGTGTGAGATTAGATGCAATACAGCCTCATGTCTGAGCGTGGCTGTTTATCTCCAGTCCCATGGATTAGCAGGTCTGATGGGGATGCAAAGCTGTACCATTTGCAAACACAATGCAATGACATGAAATGACAGTATTTTGTTTTGAAAACACTGTATTTTTGTGGTGATTTTACTAATCTGTGTTTTGTGAATGACTTCAAAGTAGCATACCATAATGGTATTTAACTACAGGGTAACCAAATAGCCAATACTGAACACTGTATATACTGTAAGTGATCAAATGCCTTCAGGAAATGACTTCATGTCTTTGCAGTTACTTCTGTCTACACAACATGCTCTAAAGGACAGTATATTGTGGCTGCATTGTAAATGGCCCGGTGTTGAAGTTTTGTGACTGAAGGTTCTTCACCTTCACCCATTTCGGGGTTCATCGAGCTGCTTTCTAAAAGCAATTCAACCTTCACTCTATGCAACTAGCATCTACCTGATGCCTTTACTTCTTTTAACTTAAAGGTGGACTATGTGATTCTAATCCAGTACACTTTTTTTTTTAATTCAGCAAAACTCACCTAACGGTTCGTTAGCTGTCTGTTCTGTGTGTGCGCTCAGATAAATGCAGTGCACAGGCCTGATTCTGTACAACAAAGTGGTTTCTATCCATCAAGACAGCACTATTCCAGTGGTTCATTTGCATGTTCAAACTCGTGCACATTCGTACTTGTGCACATGACAAGGGCGAAGGGAGGCAGTAGGAATGAGAAGGACAGTAAACATGGAACATTATCCAAATGTGCAATCTAGCTAAATGTCAATAATAGAATTTTCTTTTCTAGAATCACAGACTTCACCTTCATTTCTAATTCTCCAAGTTCTTTTGCTGTGTCGTACAAATGATGTTCGCAAGATGCTGAAAAGGGAACTGAGCCATATCTTTGCACCATTTTGTTAAATGGTGAGAAAAACTGTCCGCTCTCATGCAAATACATCAGTCTGCCGCTGCTTTATGTACTCTGATGTGCAAGTTACTTGGAAACCAGAACTGCTGCTTGCAATTTTATTTTATTTTTTTAAACCTATAGAAGACCTTATATATGCAGAGTTGCCTATAAACTACTCGTACAACTTGTTACTCAGGGAAATAGTTCTAACGGACATTTCATTATCAGGGTATCTATCACAACAAGAAGTCTCTTTTGGCTCCCAACTTGCATTGGTACATTTTTAAATATTCTGTGTATAGGTCAGTTAACAAAAAAATAATAACTTGTGCATATAACGACAATACATATTCTAATTACGACTAAATATGTTTGATTGTGTTAAAAAAAAATCTATATATTTAGATGCTTTTTAAATAAAACATTAGAGCGTCATTTCTGGGGTTACTTTAAAGTGAAAGCAAGATACTCACAGAGCTCAGGTTTTCTGCATCTTTATAAAGTGTGAGACAAATGAAAATGTGTTTGTATATGCAAGTTTGGAATAAATCTACTGACCTTTGAAAGAGCATGTGAGTTTGCTTTTATTCCTTTATAGCAAACTGATATTGAAAATGTCTGAATACTGTATATTAGTGTGTTGATGCTTTGGGAAATGTAGTGAAACAGAAATAGATCTTCAAAGTTACCTCCTCAGCACAGGTTTTCACAACTGCTTAAACACTTGACTTTTTGATTTCATGACCATATACAACTATATTTACACACCTAAAATTTTGAATTGCCTTAACTGGCATGCATGTGACCGATGAGCCTCGTGCCTGCCACTTAACCTTGATTAAACTTTCACAATAAAGTTACTTTGAGCTCCTTAAGCAAGCCAATAATGCGCTCTCAACAGTGGCATGGAGTGACTTTTGATCCCTGGCTTGTAATCTTTTAATCCACGGGACAGTATCGTTACGTAACAATTAGCTTCTATTGGTGGCAACCTAAAATCAACGTGGTTGCTTTGACATGATGGAGAGAATTTCATAAAGTTATTCAAATGAAGGCAATTCAGTTGCATGTATTTCATGATGACATGAAAAGTTCCATGTGTCAACAAAGCCCCAGCAGCTACAAACAGTGGAACCTAATTAGATTTTCTAGTCCTCAGTGAAACACTGACATGTTGCATTTGTAGAACTGTGGCTGACTTCCTCTACACAGAGAGAAAACTTGGTAACTTGAGGACAGCTCTAAAATAAAAACCTACACTGTAAAAATGAAAACTTAAAATTGTTGGCCTGAAAAATATTTTTTGGTCAAGTAAACAAAAAACGTTCTATTGTGCTGCAAACAACGTCAAAGTAGTTATCCCAACCACATTTATTACGTTTGTTGTGTAAAGTTGGTCTCATTTCATAAGTTTGGTTGACAAAACTTAAAATTATAGGTTTGAAGCTGGAGCTTAGTTCTTTGAATATGCATCGGTAAAGAACGGGGTCTCCAACTCAAATCTACAGGGGCCACATCTCCCACTTTCAAATTCACACTTGCACAGCCATTTGTCCTGTTTTCAAATCCTGTGCAGATTTTATCTCCATATAGGTGAGAATTGTATTTAAGTAGTGTGTCGAAACTCCAGCTTTACAGTTTGTGATTGATTGTGAATTGATTTCCGGTTATGTAACTTCAATATTCCTGTTTGTTTAATATGGCATGGTCATTACCGATATGTTAGCCGCCTTGGACTTTAGCTAGCTAGCATGCAAGTAGGAAACGAGGCACGTGGCAAGATACATTTTCTGAACACAAAATAATAAATTGGCACAGTTTTTATTTTTCAGAATTCTTAGTTTGCATAACTAAAAAAAAAAAAAGTTACATTACATATGAACAACAAGTCATCTCAACAAAAACGTGCTTGTTGGTTGAAAGGTAAAATGTTTAGTTCACCTCAAAATCCAAAAATCCAGTGGAGACAGTTGCCTTGAAATTTTGAGTTTACACAATTTTTTCGTTTTTACAGTGTATGCAGAGTTCCATAAAGGATCACATCTTTGACAGTAAACACACATCTTCATAAATAGGACACGATTGCACAGAGTTTGACCTCTAAGAATGAAGCACAAGTGTGACTACAGTCAGCAACAAAGCATGTCATCCACAAAAAACACATATACTACAGTAAGTGCACGTCAAACAAGTCTCTTTATCTATTTGAAAAACTGACAGTTTAAAGAAATGTAATATCACATTTCTTCTACATCGAAAAAAAAAAAGTGTTCTTTAGGAAAAAGCTTGTGAGAGCAGGTGGGACTCTTCGAATCACAGAGATTAGTGGGAAAGAAAAATAAGTGCTGATTTAAAAAAAGAACAATTTGCTCTCTTTGCTACGTGACAGCTGATGTGAGAGCTTCCAGCTGTGTGTGCAGCCGTGAGCCAAAACGGAGAGATTACAGAGCCTGAGAACAAGGAGGGGAATTTATATGAAGACATCTCTTTCAGGCACTGCTGAATGAAGTGTTGTCACACTGTGCAGTCTCTCTGGCATCCTCGAGACAACTCTATATTTGACACGCTCTGGCTGTCACAACTGCTGTGACAGAACAGTGCTTGAGCATCACTGTGCTGTCTTTAATTTGAGACGGCTTGTAACCTATACAGCAGTCACCAAATGCAGTAAAGTGCAATGTTCTTAAGAAAAAAGAAGAAATCCTGAAGCACCCTCCACTGAAACAATAGTGTTTTCTTGTCACTGTAAAAAAAAAAAAAGATGTACATCCAGAGTTTGGTGTCTAATCTGAGTTTAAGCCTGAACGATCAGAACACTTTAGAAGGTCGAACATGCAACTTAAACAAGTTTGATATGTAAACGCACTGAGAACCAAAACTAAGATCAGACATCTGTAAGCTGTAATTGATGTTTCTACAATAGCAATAGGTGGAAATGTGAAAACAATGTGACAAAGTGAAAGAGGAAGCTTGTAGTGATGAACCTGCAGGGTATTACTTCTATCACCTCCTCTTCCCTCAGCTTTTTGGAGCTTTATTTCAGCTGTTAATTTGCCAGCAAATTTACTGCTTCAGTTCTAGTAGTAGAAAGTAACTAAGTACATGTACAGCTTTGAGATTCTTTCATTTTCCTTCTACTTTACACTTGCACTCCACTGCATTTCAGAGGGGAAATATTATACTTTCTACACCACTACATTTGTCTGACAACTTTAGTTCCTAGTTGCTTTCTGGATAAAGATTTTACACACTGGATTATACCCTGCGCCTTTAGAATGCAACCCATTCTTACATTTTAGACCAGTTGTTTCCAACCTTTTTGGCTTCTAATGTCTTACAAAAAGCAAAGTGTAGTCAAGTTAGGATGTCTATGAGTTGTCAACAGCTCTACCAACTACCAATTGTTCCCTCTAAACTTCTCACATAGTTTCATGTCAACAAACGATCCAATGTTTCACCAAAAATCAAACAGCAGAGAAAAAGCCCAAGAATGAAAACGGTTTTAGAAAACCCTTGCTTCTTATTTGTCTTGTCAAACTTACAATACACAAGATAAGTGTTGACTTGCAGCTCTTCCTTTTCTTCTTGTCAGGGTTCAGTGTTGTGCATCCAAACACCAAGTCACATTCCCTATATGTGAAAACCTTGGTAATAAAATGAATTCTGATCGTGATTCAGATCGTGCAGCAGAACTTTGTTTTTCCTCTTTCCTTTCAATTCTTTCCTGTCCTTGTATATAACCTTGTGTATAAAGTGGTTCAAACTAGCTGCTACAAAAATATCATGCTGCTGACATGCTGATGCTTCACCATTAATAATCTAATGTCATAATATATTAGTCAGAAGGACGAAACCAAGACTTATACTTTAATACTTCAACTGCATGTTGCTGCTTATACTTGTGCACTTTTGCGTAAGTATGTTTCTTCAAACAGAATCTTTACTGCTGTATGGTCCGTTGTTTTGCCGTACATTGCCAATAGTCATAGCCAGAACATTCTGCAGAACAAAATGGCAAATTTGAAAAATAATTTAAAAAAATCTGGCAGGACTGCCTTACTACACGATTCAAATCCTCTGCAAAACTTGAAATTTTCAGTGTGGTTACTAGACCAGAAGTTGTTGCAGCCAGTGGCAGGCCTATACCAACAGTTTGCGAGGTGTGTCAGAAAAGTTTCAGGACTGGTGTCACAAAAGCTCCGTCGTCACGGCCATCTTGATGTCGTCCACATCCTCAAAATGGTGTTTTGAAGACGTGGATGAAAACGGGTCTCCTTGGTGACCCCCTTGAGCTTGGGGAAGAGGAAAAAATCCCAAAAAGCCAGGTGGGGTGAGTTGGGAGGTTGTTCCAGCATGAAGATGTTCTTCTCAGCCAGGATGCTCAGGGCATTGTGAGCAGGCGCGTTGTCATGGTGAAGCAGCCACAACTTGTCCTGCCACAACTCTCACCTCTTCTCGCGCACTGAACAACACCGTGGGATCTCTTTGCTGGTTGATCATCTGAAGGGGAAAACTCCTGGTTTGTAGTTCCATCCATCCATCCATCTTCTCCCGCTTATCCGGAGTCGGGTCGCGGAGGCAGCAGCCTTAGCAAAGCCGCCCAGACTTCCCGATCCACATACACCTCCCCCAGCTCTTCCTGGGGGACCCCTAGGCGCTCCCAGGCCGGCTGGGAGACATAGTCCCTCCAGCGTGTCCTGGGTCTTCCCCGAGGTCTCACCACCCGCAGAGGGAGTCATAGGGGTCGGGTGCAGAGAAGACTGGGTGGTGGTCGAGGGGGGCTGCCTCGACGGCCTGGTCCGAATACACAGCCTCTGGTTTGTAGTTTGGTTTTGAAATATATCTTTTGTGACCTTGTCCTGGAACTTTTCTGTCAAACCTCATACATCCAGTCAGATGATGATGTCATAACAGAGGCAGAGAGAGTCTTCTTCCTGAAGAGGGGCGAGGACAGCAGCATCTCTTCTGTATTTGGGGCTACAGATGCTGAAACTACCTCATGTTTTGAACTGATCTTGGGTTATTGCAATACTTTCATTAATGTGTTGAAAAAGTGATTACAACATGGGATCTTTAAAGGGAATCTGATATGTCAGTGTTGTGTTGATGTCTTGTTTATACTGCCCTCTAGTGGGCATGTAATGAACATTTTTCCAAAGAAGATTTCATAACTTTTTGCAGAAAGAAAAACCATAAGAACATGTTAGACACAAATACAACCAAAATGTGTTCAAAAATAAAACATCCACCAGAATTTAAATCCATATAGAAGAATGGCATAATAGCTGGATGAAAAAATAATAATACATAGATGCTTGGAAGCTCTTTCTGTTTTTTTTTTTAACTTGTAGAAGCATTATTGTTTGTCAGTGGGGTCTTTGAAGCACATTCCTGTCCGTGCAGCGCAGACAGCAGTCCACAGGGGAAAAGGAAAATGAGAGGTTTAAGCAAGCAACAGGAAAACCGCTATGAGAACACATTCCAGGCCGGGCAGAGCCTGTCCGGGACAATAAGGGGTGGGGACAAGACTCTACACTATTTTAAAAAATCTTGCAATCTCGCCTTTAAATCACAAACATAGACAACCCACGAGTGTTCTCGCTTGACGGGGAATGGGAGGGAGGGGGGGGCTGAGAGTTGTCAACGCGGAAGGAGGCTGGATCCTGGTTCTGTTCGTCGGTTTATCAGCGCTGATTTGGACCCAGATGAGATAGGCTCCGGTCGGCCGTGTGTGTGTGTGTGTGTGTGTGTGAGCCAGGACTCGTGCAGCTGCCAGTCATAACTCATTAGTACTTATTCCGCGGTTTTCACGGCTGTTTTGGAAAAAAAGGTTTGATTTGTGGATCACACGAGAAGAGAAAAAGAAAAAGAGCCGAACTTCTTTCCTCCTCCACAGAAACGCGGATTCGTCGAAGCAGGAAAGGATGTGAAGTGTGTGTCTGGATGAAACAGCTGCAAAGAGGACAAGAAGCGAGTTGCTGCTTTCTAAAAATGAAACCTTTTTTTAAACTTTTTATTTGAAATAACTTTGCCTACGAAGGAGTAGCTGGTGTGATATGCGGCATTTGGATCTGTCAAGTTAAAAAACAAAAAAAGGCGGAGAAGCAGAAAACAGGTAAAACTTTTTTCTTTTAATTTTCTTTCTTTCTTTCTTTTTAAATATCTTTCTGCTGGTTTTGTTCAGATCCTTCACATTTAAGCTGTTGGACAGTAAAGTTGCCATCCTGCTGCACACACACGTGTCTCCAGGTGTGAACAGGTGTCAGGTCCAACACGAGTTAACAGCACTGAACAAACATTTTAAGATTTTATGCAGATCTTCTTTCACACCATCTCATTTAATAAATACAACACAGTGCTGTTTTCTAATTCATATGATCACCCATGTGACATTTATTGAGCCTACAAACTACCAATCAGTGTGAAATAATACATTGATCTCCATATCAGCCCACTAGTTTGTGGTCCATTGCATTTCAGAGGCAATTATTGAAGTCCATTACTTTTTACTTCCCTTGGTTAATGTGTCCTGAGGTATGTTGTTATCCTATTTTCTAACTAATATACTTCCAGTATTGCTCAGGCTACAATTGCAAGTTACCTTTAACTTTAGGATTTTACATAAGACACGAATAATCATCCAGCAAATCTGATTTTTGACAATTGAAACAACCCAAAAGTAGCTTAAAATGGCTCCCCATCATTTAACTGTTGCCAAATTGTTCATTTACATTCGTAATGATGCTGAAATTATATAACCGTATGACACTGACAGGTGTCATTCAGCTTTGTTTCAGCATTTGATGATGATATATTTTGTTTTTTTCATTGGCGTATGGCTATTTTTACTCAAACAGGATCTGAATACTTCTTTAACCGCTAACTTCTGCTTCTGAAGGAGATCCTACCGTGAGAATATGTTGGGGTTAAAAGTTCTCTCATCTTAAAAGGTGTAAAAAATCTACATCTTATATGCAAATGTAAACCCTGGTTTCACAGTTTGTACTGGCACGTCGCTTATCACACACACACGTGGGAAGACGTTTGACCTTTTTGCCTGCAGGTCATAGTGGAAGTCACATGGGGTTCTTCAAGATGGGTGCTGTTGTTGGTAGAAGGTGTGCGCCACCCATAATCATACCTAAACCTCACTTATTTGTGTATTTCCTCTTATTCTTTCTTTCTGGAAGCAGTTTGTTTGCACAGCATGTCTGAGAAACCGTATATTTGTCTTTTCCCTTCCCAGACAACTTCTATTGTAGTTATGCATGTGAGCACGCAGGCAACAACTGAGCCATAAACCCTGCTAAGCCTATCTTTGTCTGGGAAATGAAGATTCAGTCTGTCGCCATAGCTAGGAGACAGTTGCATTCACTGGCGAGCAGATTCAAAAGTTTTCACCACTGACAAGTCATCAAAACGCGTGACGTTGGCATTTAAACCACATTATAGACGCTTTTACGGTAACGCTGCTTAAAGTTGCTTTACGGAGACGGAGTTAAAAAGGCTTTTTTGGTGCAATGAGGCCCAGCGGAGGGGCTGCCGGAGACCGCTGTGCTGCGCCGTGCCCCCACAATCCACCACTGTAACCACACAGTCATCCAGATGGAATGAGAGATCTGCCTCCCCGAGTCGAAGCTCTGTAGATGAGAGGAAGAGATGGCAATGGATCTTTTCCCCTTGAGTCACGTGGGTGTAGCTTTGGACAGAATGGAGACAAACAGGAGAGAGGAAGTCTGTCGGACTATAAAGTCAGGCTTCCTACGATGGAGGATGTGATTGCTGCTCTCTCGTATGTCACAAACCTTGCGGATGATAAAAATGATAGCTTAGAGACACACTCGTGCCGCTCCGCTGAGAATAAGTAAATTCTGTGGGTGGAGATGTGTTTATGCTATTCTTCCTCTGGACCCACAGATTTATCACCATTGACATGCACTCAGCACGAACGAGGAAGTGTTTCTTTTTTGCTGTTTGCTGTAAAATATGGCTTGTGGTTTTTGCGTTTTACAATTCAACACAGACGGTTGAGCTGTGACCCCAGATAAGGGAGTTCTGAGAGATGTCACATTTGATTTGACACTAAGATAAACACAGGAAACTCTGTTCATAGCGTGATCTCGCGTGCCTGTTGTGGTGTTTTCTAAGTAAATGCATATTAAAGATGAAGACATTTTAATTTATAAAATCTGTAAGTACACAAATATTCATATTGGGCAGCTTTCCTCATCTGGTTTCTCTTCTAGTGCATTTGACTTGATGGAGTGACAAAGGTAATGGGTGGTAATGCTTCCTGTGGCTTGTACTTAAATATATCTGGCGAGATGCATCAAAACTAAAGGAGGATATCCGTAGTTTTGTGCTGACGTCTGCAAGCTGCACCGCCAGATGTTTGCAGTTTGAGGGGTTATTTGCAGTGAAAGATGTAGGGTTGGATAACTGTTCCTATAAGAACAGTTTACAGTGTTCCAAAGCAGATTTCTACGTACATGACTTATAATATTTTTGTGCCAATCTGTTTATTAAGCAGACTGGTCAAACAGGTAAACACGATTCAAAATGCAGTGTGAGATTATTGATGTTGTAGTGACTTTGGAACAAAGTAAGTAGCATTCATAGGATTAGAGATTTACCAAAAGAAATAAAATTGCATCAGAATCTGATTGAATTTTCCAAGTTAAAACTGATTCATTATTTAGTTTGCAAGTTGTAGGAACAGACTGTCTCACTGTTTTTTTCTTCTTCTTCTTCCCTGAACTAGAGGTGTGAAGTATTGTCTAACTGCATGACTCGCTGATGATTCAGCTCAGTGCTCTTTAATTTCTTTTCTTTTTTTTCTAAATTAGATTTGTGAATTAGGTTTCGGCTCAGTATCTTATTGCAAAAATCCACGAAATGAAAATGTGCAGTAATGTGAGTCAGACTATTCTTTATGCAGCAAAACAACCTGACAAGCATATTTAACTGTACTGTGAAAATAAAAATGAAAAATGTAAATGTTGCTCCTACAAATGCCAGAGCAAAGCAGCATTAACTGCTTTCAGTTCAGTTTGATTCAGTGAAATTATAATTTTATATTAATACTGAGGCCAGAGTAATTACTTACTTTTATTTTCAGAGGGATGCAGTTGCAGGAAACTGCTATTACTTAACAAATCCAAGGAACAATGATCACGCCCTTAGTGTATTATTTAGGTTTTCTTGGATTTATTGAATCACTCGTCTTTCTGTGGAAAAGGTCAAGAAGAAAAAGTAAGAAGGAGTCCCTGCTTTCCACTGCGCTGCCACAAGGGCTGTAACTAAAAGATCATCATTATTATTAACCTGAAGATTATTTATGGGATGAATGAATGAATTATTTAATCTACGCCTGCGTAGGGACAGTCTGTGACGTGCAACAACACTGTTTGATGACAATATGTGATGAATAACTGTGAGGATACGTCTGTATTCCATATGAGTACCCAACCACATAAAAAGAACATTCATTTTTAAAAAAACATTATAAACATAGGAGATGAAGGTTTGATTTCCCATGCTCTGTTTAAAATATCTTCATCTAAACTCAACAAAAACTTCCCTTGAGATTTCCCTCTCTTCCTCCTCCGCCATCGTGCGGGCTAACCTCGTCAGTCGCATCCAAATTCACACCAGTTAATCTAATGTAACGTGTCTAAGCTCACCTGGATGTCAGGTTAGTCGTCTAGAGTGCGCTTTTGCAGCCAGAAAAAGGCCGGCTTGTGCATGCCGGCCCTCTTACTTGCGTGACTCTCGGCAGCGCAGCACCAAACAATGAGCAGACCTGAGTCTCGCCAGCCAGCCGGGTGGGGCCGCTCAATGGCAGGAAGCATAGCCATCAATATTTACTCTGCAAGCAGGGTAGTCGAGGAGTCGACAGGCCTGGAGCCTGGCTAGCACAGCGCCACGCACAGTCTCGGCACACATACACAAACACTCTGGAGTGCTGTTACAGCCTGCTTCCCCCAAAAGCCCCCTTTTTCCCACCCAATGCAATTACAACACAGGCAGACAGGCTGGGCCCTCCGACTGTTGTTTTTGACCTCATAGCTTCCTCTGCCTCCTCAGAGTCCGGACTTCAGCCGCTATTCGAGTCCTCACAGACACTACTATTAAGTTACCATCTGTAAATTTCATTCAACTGTCAGGGAAGTTGGCTGTATTTTCCGTAACCCCTCAGATTACATTTCTGTGTTTTCATTATGACAATGCCGAATAAAGAAAGAACCCCATTTGTATGATCATCACCTGATTATGTTTTAGTGTTGATAATTATTTTTTGGCCCTGTTTCACAGAGATGGAAAGCTCTGCTCTGCTCACAGTGGTGCTCGCTGGAGTTTTCCTGTGGATTTCTGCAATCCATGCAGGTGAGTTAATGGGCAGGGCTGGAAAACGTTCACTGTTGTAAGGAACAATCACTTTGTTTCGGTCAATTAAAGCTCCGTTTGAGCGTATCGTTCACACTGGCACTGAATCAGACGGTTCTGATGTGAACTACTCACTAATGCTTCAGAAGCCACAGAGGATGTAACTTTTAGGCTTTTTTTTTTTTTGGATCTCCTGTTTGTATATAAACTGGACAGTTCAGTTCTCACCAACACAAGTAGCTGTTTCCAGCAAACAAGTTCAGACAAGAAGGGTGTATACCGCCTGTCTGACATGAAAAGGCAGAGTAAATGAGCAGGAAGTGGGGATTGTCGAATATCAGTTCAAGAGTTGGCGGATCATCGTCTGTCTGCCTCTTATTTGTCAAAAACTGTTCAAAGGAGGAGTTTGTGATTCTGGAGAAAGATTGTTGATATATAGCTCGTTAGCATGTTTTAATAGTTGGCATATGCTGGATTTTTTTTCAGTCAACTAAATTAGGATCTAATAGTCTTCCTTTAAGGTAGCTTTAACTGCCTTAATAGGTAATCCATTTTTCTTTAAATGCTAGCTTTTTTAAAATGTTCTGTCTGCATTGTAATCGGACAAATAAAATCTTTGGTACGGTGTTGCAGAGGCATGTGAGATGGCGTTTAGCGTTTACGAAAAGTGCTATAATCGCCGTGAACACCACAGCTCTTCATTTAGTTATGCAGACATTTTATTTTCTGTTTCATTTTTCTGTTACTCTCATTCAGCGCCACCATGTTCTTTATGATTTTCAAACCAGAAGTGTCTCTCCTGGTGAACCACACAGCCTCAATGTGGTGTCTTGTGGCTGCCAGGAAATTGAATTAACATATTTCTCTTTCTGTTACGAGGATTTCCCCTCAAGGAAACCAAGTAGACTTTATCATTATCTTTATATTTTTAAAAAAAAGGTTAGGTAAAGGTGTTGGGCCGTGCTTTCCCAAACTTTCTTATTGACTGGCTCGGCTGTTTAAAACCAGCTAGTTTCGTGTCTGAGTTGCACTTTTGGGTAGCTTCCTTTCAATGCTGTTTTTGTGTGTTTTCTTGTGCTTCAGTCACCAATGATAACGGGGAGCTGCTGTGTACATGTGAGAACAACAAAGGCACATGTGAGAATGGAACTTGCAGAGGAGACTACTGCTTCTACACCTGGGTGCACGGCAGAGAGGAGTGGGGATGTTTCACTAAAGTTAACTCCAGAGAGCAGTGCTCGACCTCCTTTGAGCGCTTCTATGTCTACTGCTGTCTAGGGGAGAAGTGCAACAGATTCGCCACGCCGCCTCCTAACATTAGTCAGTATCCAAATCTATTGCTTTACAATATTTGAGCATCACATGCATGAAAGACAAAGAATCAGGGCCTCATAGTTTGTACTTTGTGCAATCCCACAACTAAGTGCTGATCTTGTATTCTTACAGGCCTTTAGTTTCCCTCTAGATAGGAACTGGTTCCCCCTTGTGGTCAGTTTGGATTGATGCTGCGCTAAATGTTGCATATTTTTACCTTTTAATCACAAAGAATGCCTGAACTGAATGTTTGTGTGCATCCACAAGGGGGGCCGACGACAGCACCTCCAGCACCCCCTCGTCCAGAGGTGGTGTGGGTCACTGTGTCTTTGCTGCTCTTATTCTTGATCTGCGGTGTGTCTGGTCTGGTGCTATACCTGCGTTTCCGACGTGGGACTTGCAGACCGAAAGACGCCGAAGACCATGATGTTGCTATGCTCAAAGTCCCCAGTGGAGACGACCCCACATATGGCGTAAGAGTTGTCTGATACGACATGAAACACTGCCAAAAGATGTTTTTGAGTTCTTTTCAACTGACTTTATGTTTGTGTCTGTGTCTCTTTCTTTAGGAAATATTTGACGAGTTTTGTACTTCAGGAAGTGGTACAGGGCTTCCATATCTGGTCCAAAGGACGATGGCCAGACAAATCTCACTTGCAGAGTGTGTCGGTTAGTCTCCAGTCTCACCATCGCTTCTCTTCTTTGCATTTTTTATTTTTTTTTTCAATTCTTTGCTGTTGTGTAATTTTGTCACTCTGTTTCCAGGTAAAGGCAGATATGGAGAGGTGTGGAGAGGAACGTGGATGGGGGAGAGTGTAGCTGTCAAGATTTTCTCCTCCAGAGACGAGCAGTCCTGGTTCAGAGAAACAGAGATCTATAATACTGTACAGCTGCGACACGACAACATACTGGGTATGGCAACGGATTACAGTTCCAAAGAGATTGTTCTTGTGGTGTACTTCCTGCACAGAGGAAGATGTCATTTTGAAAACTGTCTGACACAAAACATCTTCTATTCTGGGTTTTTAGGTTTCATAGCCTCTGACATGACATCCAAGAACTCCAGCACCCAGCTGTGGCTCGTCACCCACTTTCACGAGCTGGGCTCGCTGTACGATTTCCTGCAGTACAGCAGCTTGGAGCCAGAGAGCTGCCTGAGGATGTGCCTGTCTGTGGCCTGTGGCCTGGTCCACCTCCACACCGAGATTGTCAGCTCCCAAGAAAAGCCAGCAATCGCCCACAGAGACCTGAAAAGCCGAAACATCCTGGTAAAGCGGAACGGGCAGTGCTGTATCGCTGATCTAGGTGAGGGTTACACTGAAGCAGTGAATCACAAAGAATCCACCAGACCTGTAGCTGTGTCTTTTTCCAACTTTTGCTGACGGTTTATGATTAATGTGTTGAGACAAAAACAGCTATTTCATGCTAATATTACTAGTTTTGCATCATTGCTCTGTGCCCACAGGTCTGGCTGTGATACACTCTCAGTCCCACGACTACCTGGATGTGGGCAACAACCCTCGAGTGGGGACCAAGCGCTACATGGCCCCCGAGGTGCTGGATGAGACTATTCGTGTGGACATCTTTGAGTCCTATAAGCAAACTGACATCTGGGCTTTGGGTCTGGTCTTCTGGGAAATCTCCCGCAGGACCATTGTCAACGGTAAGGAGACAGTAATCTATTAAAAGTTGTGCCTTTGCGGTCATTTGTAGAGCATTTTGATTTTTTTTTTATTTATTTTTTGTGTATTAAGTGTATTAAATCAAACCATGTTGAGAATGTGTTTCCTCTGTTGTGTGTTTGGTAGACGACATTTAAGAAGCAGTTAGTCTCCCGTCTCTCAGCAGTCCACTGTTTTTCTACTCTCCGTCTGTCTCTGCTATCCTCTCTCATGATTAGCACCACAGTAATTATAAACAGTCTTATCTGGTGTCAGCACTCACTTGTACATAGTCCAGATGCTCGTACTCACAATTTGTAGATTCAAGTACACATTCATGCACGCGCACACACACACAAACGCGTGCAAATGGGCACACATTCATAACTTTGTGTGTATGTGCTCCGAGGCTCACTCAGCGGGACTTCCACATTTCCATCCCGGCGTAGTCACCAGGGATTTGATATCTTTCCCCGCTCTCTTGTTTAGTCAAACATACTTTACAAAACTCCCACTGCACCCTATCTCAATCTCCAAGTATGCTATTTCAGGCCTTGTATGAAGGGAAATGTATGTTCTGGAAATGTATGAGGCGATAAAACCACTAGGAGTAGTTTACTTCATCTATTCATGAGATTTTGAATTTGATAACTGGAATGTATCTGGCAGTGTTTGACATTACAAGGTATTTTCCTACAATAAAGATTGTTATTTAGGAGTTTTTCCTAAAATGCAGTGGCTTGATTTTTGTGTGCTTTTTTTTATTTTCTATTTTTCTAGGGATTGTGGAAGAGTACCGTCCTCCCTTCTTTGACGTGGTGCCCTCAGATCCCAGCTTTGAGGAGATGAAGAAGGTGGTGTGTGTGGACCAGCAGAAGCCCAGTCTGCACAACAGACTCCACTCCCACCCTGTAAGTCATCTGATGACACACAAACACAATTACTTTTGTCACATCTCAACACATACTATCACTTCTCACCTTTGGCAGCCACATGTTCCCAATATCCCACGGATTTCCATAAAACAGATTCTGTACGGCGTCCTTGATGAATCTTCTTGTAAATTAATCATGTCGTGATATTTATTAGTGCTGGTTTTGAATTTAATGATTCTTGAAAGATTTTCTCATTAGTTTCTGTCAGTAAAAACGTCAAAACATAAGAAAACTAGGAATTAGTCGGTAACAATTCTATTATCAGCCAGATGGATTGGTAAATGGTAAATGGTCTGCACTTATATAGTGCTTTTCTACCTTTGCGGCACTCAAAGCGCTTTACAATGTTTCTCATTCACCTATTCACACACACATTCACACACCAATGGTGACAGAGCTGCCATGCAAGGCGCTAATCTGCCATTGGGAGCCATTTGGGGTTCAGTGTCTTGCCCAAGGACACTTCGGCATGTGGGGGGAACCGGGGATCGAACCGCCAACCATCAGCTCTACCACCTGAGCCACAGCCGCCCCGATTGAACATTTTTCTGCTGTTGACATAATTTGTTTTGTATAACAATGCTCTCAACTGCAACTTGAAACAGATTCTGGCAATTATATTCTCTCAAATCTCATCACTTCTTCTAACCCTTGGCAGCCACATATTCCTAATACCACACAGGAACACAACACTGCTGCGAAGACCAGATGCTATTTTACATTTACACTTTTTTTTCTCTCCCTCCCCGTGTGTGTGTGTGTGCAGATCCTTACAGCCATTGTAAAGCTCATGAAGGAGTGCTGGTACCAGAACCCCTCGGCCCGCCTCACGGCCTTACGGGTGAGGAAGACTCTTTCCAAACTGGACCACGACGACTTCAGCATTGAGAAGCTCAAGCAGGACGTCTAGACTGGAGCGCCGGGATGAAACGGGGCCACAAGATTGAAAACACCCAAAGGGATTTGGCACCACATTCCAGCAGCACGACGAGGTGCATATCATTAGCATATTTTGAGCCAATGACTCACACAGTAACCACATTATATTAAAGCCATATGACTCTGAGCAGGAGCGTCTAGACTACATTGGCCCCCCCACGGCTATACTTTTTTTATGTATGCTAATTTTTAGCTGCCATGTTTCTGGCGCCTCTAAGCAAGAGGTTCCAAAAAGGTGTTTTTCTTGTTGTTGTGTTCAGCTAATAAACGTTTAGATCGGACATTACTACAGCAGAGTAATTATCACAGTTCTTATAGGTAGTTTTTCACCACACATGGGCACATCTGGTTCTCTTTTAGTGGATTTTATTTTTTTAATTTTTTCCCCATTGTTGCGACAGAATGGAAAATTTTAGCATAGCACAATTACTCCTCCTATCAAGAGGAGTAATGATACAGAGTATGATGTATGGATTTTTCCCATAATGACCAAAGCCACTAACAACCACAGCAAGCATGAAGAATGGTTGTCTTTATTTTAAAATACAGGAAACATAACGAAGCACATTACTTGCTCTGTAAGCACATTTAACTTAAGTAAAATGTATTATTTGCACATAGTTTGAGTTTATTTAGTTGTACATATTTTGTATCACCATTGGGTTTATTGTAAATATGTTTCAAAAGGGGGGTTATTTTCTATTCAAAAATGAGATGTTTTGTATACTTTTTTTTAAATCACACAGCTATTTCAGATTTTTTTTTACATTTCGGTTGGTCAGAAATGTACCATCACATTCACTATGGACAGTAAAGGAATTCACAAACAGACATGTAATGTTGTATATCTTTAATAAAGGATTGTATTTTTGAAATGTTTGTGCCATGTTCTGTAGCAGTAATATTTGCAATCCTCTCTCTGACCAGTAGAGGTCATCAGATAACAGACAAACAAGGATCCTTGTAGCTACAGTAGCGCCACTTCCCAGGAGAGATTTACCCTGTGATCGTTTTCCAGTTGTCTATTCATTTGCGCTGCATCATCTTAAAATCATTAACAAATAAAAGTAATTCTTCATCAGATAAGTAGGGGGTTTATTTTACACAACCTATATATAAATATTATATTTGAACATCTATACCATCTTGTTTGCTTTCTGCAAGAAATGCAACATTCAGTAAGATCTTCATGTGGAATTTCACATACTGAGATGCTAAACTAGAAAACATAAAGAGCAGAATTTAAAACAAACCTGACTGACTGGGGACATGAAGGATTACACATTTAAACAGTTGTTCCAAATGCATTTGCTTGCTTAATGTAATATTCTAGGCACCTTCCATCCATCCATTATCTATACACCGTTTAATCCTCACTAGGGTCGTGGGGGGCAGGAGCCTATCCCAGCTGACTCAAGGTGAAGGCAGGGGACACCCTGGACAGGTCTATACAAAAAAACAGACAACCAAGCACACTCACATTCACACCTACGGACTATTTAGAACAGGGGTGTCGACATCCGGTCCTCGAGGGCCGCAATCCTGCATGTTTTAGATGTTTCCCTCTTCCAAC